TCTATATACAAATATTCTTAACACTATATATATTTCCAAATATCAACACTCCCCCTCAAGCTTGAGCATATAAATCAAATGCACCAAGTTTGTTACATATATAATTAATTCTAGAACTTCGTAGGGATTTTGTAAATACATCTGCCAATTGATCATTAGAGTTGATAAAGCTTGTGACGATGTCACCTGACTCGATCTTCTCTTTGAGAAAGTGACAGTCTATCTCAATATGTTTGGTCCTCTCGTGGAAGACTGGATTTGAAGCAATGTGCAATGCAGCTTGATTATCACAAATAAGTGTCATTGGTCTTGCTTCTTCAATTTGAAGTTCCTTGAGCAACTGTTTTAACCAAATGAGTTCACATGTTGCCATTGCCATGGCCCCATACTCTGCCTCGGCGCTTGATCTTGCAACTACATTTTGTTTCTTACTTTTCCAAGATATAAGGTTTCCTCCAACAAGTACACAATGCCCAGAGGTAGAGTGTCTATCAATGGGTGGCCCTGCCCAATCAGCATCGGAGTATCCAATTATCTGATTATGTCCTTTATCCTCATACAGAAGACCTTTTCCTGGAGCACATTTGATGTATCTCAGAATTCGGATAACAACATCCATGTGTTCCTAACAAGGGGAATTTAAGAATTGACTTACCACACTGATTGCAAAAGAAATGTCTGGACGAGTGACTGTGAGATAATTCAACTTTCCAACCAATCTCCTATACCTTCCTGAGTCAGATAGAGGCTCCCCCTGATTGGGTAGTAGTTTAACACTTGGATCCATAGGAGTATCGACTGGTTTAGCATTTAACAAACCTGTTTCTTCCAAAATATCCATAGCATATTTCCGCTGAGAAATCACTAAACCATCTTTAGATTGAGCTACTTCAATACCCAAGAAATAACGGAGCTTACCAAGATCTTTTGTCTGAAATTGTTTCGAGAGATGTTGTTTCAACTGGAGTATTCCCTGCTGATCACTACCAGTTATGACAATGTCATCTACATACACAATAAGATAAATACACCCTTGGGGTGAGTGACGATAAAAAACCAGAATGGTCAGCTTCACTACGTATCATACCAAATTGTTGTACTACAGTGCTGAATCTGCCAAACCAAGCTCTCGGGGATTGCTTAAGACCATAAAGAGACCTGTGTAGCCTACACACCATATTTGATGACTCCCCCTGAGCAATAAACCCAGGTGGTTGCTCCATATATACTTCTTCTTCAAGATCACCATGTAAGAATGCATTTTTAATGTCAAGTTGATGAAGAGACCAATGTCGAATGGCTGCAATGGCTAGAAGAAGTCTAATAGATGCCATTTTGGCTACATGCGAAAAGGTATCACTATAATCCAACCCAAAAATTTGAGTGTATCCTTTGGCAACCAAGCGAGCTTTAAATCGATCAATCTTACCATTTGGACCAACTTTCACTGTATAAAGCCAACGACAACCTACTAAAGATTTTCCACGGGGTAGAGGAACCAATTCCCAGGTACCACTGCTTTGAAGAGCACACATTTCATCAATCATTGCTTGCCTCCACTCAGGGTGAGATAATGCTTCACTTGGAGTTTTAGGAATAAAAATAGAAGACAAAGAAGACAAACAAGTATACTGCAAAAGGGAAAGACGATGTAACATAAATCAATATAATGTGGAGAAGGATTTCGTGTTTGACGTATACCTTTTCGAAGGGCAATCGGAAGATCAGACTCAGGTTGCAGGATCGGATCCGGTGATGGCGAGAGCATCGAAGGAGAGTCCGTAGTGACCTCAGGGACAGGTACGACTTCAGGGACAGATACGACTTCAGGGACAGGGACAGGTATTACAGACGTTGGGTGATGACGCTGATATGTTTGAAGTGGGGGGAGGGGGGGGGGTCAACCGTAGGGGTATCTAATGGGTCAGGTTCCCTAGAATGATGGGGGATAATGACAAATGGGACTTCCGGAAGAGGTGTCAGAATACTTTCCTGTAGAGGTTCCGTAGTTACTTGGCTGGACTCGAAATATGGAACAAACTCGAAGAAGGTAACATCGGCCGATACGAGGTATCGTTGTAGAGTATGTGAGTAGCAATGATAACCCTTTTGTGATCGATGATAGCCAAGAAAGACACACTTTAGTGATCGAGCTGATAGTTTATCAAGACCAGGGGAGAGATTGTGTACAAAACACGTAGACCCGAAGACTCGAGGAGGAATTGGGTGGAGTGGAGAGTTTGGAAACAAGATTGAATGAGGGATTTTATTATTAAGGACCGATGAGGGCATGCAATTTATGAGGTAGCATGCCGTGAGCACCGCATCTCCCCAAAACCGGAGAGGAACATTACCATGGAGAAGTAGGGTCCGAGTGGTTTCTACGAGGTGCTGATTTTTGCATTCAGCTACCCCGTTTTGTTGGGGTGTATGAGGACAAGATGTTTGGTGCAAAATACCATTAGATGACATAAATGTTTGAAATTGTTGGGATAAATATTCACGTGCATTGTCACTTCTTAAGGTACGAATAGACAAACCAAATTGGGTTCTTATTTCTCGATAAAATTGTTCAAAAATTGAAAACAATTCAGATCTATTCTTCATTAAAAATAACCACGTGCAACGTGAAAAATCATCAATAAAGGTGACAAAATACCTAGACTCAAGAGTAGAGACAATACACGAGGGACCCCAAACATCGATGTGAACTAAAGCAAAAGGGGACGAAGCTCGTTTGTTGACTCGATTGGGAAATTGACTACGAGTGTGTTTCCCTAACTGGCACGACTCACAATGTAAATTAGATACCTTCGATAAATTTGGCACCAACTTATGTAATTTGGAAAGACTGGGATGACCTAACTGAGCATGGATAGTGAGTGGAGAATCTTTGGTTAAGCATGTCTGAGATAACAATGAGAGGTAGTAAAGGCCTTGAGACTCATATCCGACGCCAATCGTCTTTCCCGAACTCCGATCCTGCAGGGTAACATTATTGTTAGTGAAGGTGATACTACAATCAAGAGAACGAGTTAAACGACTGAATGAAAGTAAATTAAATGGACAATTAGGTACATAGAGGACAGAAGTAACAGCTAGAGAAGGTAGAATTTGAACAGTACCAATCCCTTCGGATCGGGTTTGAGAACCATTGGCAGAAGTTATAGTAGGCAAGAAACCAGAGGTAGAGAGGGAAGAGAATAAATTTTTATTACCAGTAACATGATCAGACGCACCAGAATCAAGGACCCAAGGTCGAAGAGGAGATGAGAGACAAACAGATGAATTACCAATGTGTGTTACCGTAGCTGTAGAATATGAGTTATGATAATTCTGATACCACCTGAGGAAATCATCATAGTTTGGCGTAAAGTTCTGAGGAGTAGCCATGAGTATCTGAAGAGAGAAAATATCACGCGATCGGTCGCCGGACGTGCTGACACGTGCGGAGACGGAAGTGGCGCGTGTGGAGGTTTCTACCAATGAAAACGTTTGCCGGAAGGTCGCCGAGAATAATAACGATGACGGCTATGCGGTTAATACTGGAGAATGTTGAAACCCGATGCAACAGCGGCAAGGTGATCACCAAAGAAGTGAGGCAAACCGGAGTGACAACACGGTTTGCAACAAAAATTCTCACCGGAAGACAGTGGGTCAACCGGGTAAAGCACGACGAAGAAAGAATTGCCTCTTAGCAGGCTCTAGATACCATGTTGAAATACAAGAGACTAAGAGACATTTGAATAAACCGTGTGTTTTGAAAAGCACTACAGAGACATTATTATATATAGATAGATTACAACTAATTACATGATATAGTCGATGTGGGACTATTCTATATACAAATATTCTTAACACTATATATATTTCCAAATATCAACAGTTTGAAACTTACATCTTGTTCTTGCATATGGTCCAGCGCGTTTCGATATCCTTGGAGATGGAAACGAGGATTTGCATGGTAATTCATTCTTCTTTGTGCCCATCTTGTATAACCCAAAAAAATATATAATATTGTTAGGCATATTTGAATAAAATATATATATATATATATATATATATATATATATATATATATATATATATATATATATATATATATATATATATATATATATATATATATATATATATATATATATATATATATATATATATATATATATATATATTATGTACACAAATATGAGTGTTTTATTACATAAATACCTTTGTGCATATGGATACGAGGGTTCCACTGTACTGACAGGAGCGAACAATGGTATACGTGTGAATGCCCAAGAAGTTAGTAGGAGAGCACAACCACTCATGCTCCTAACATCTTTTACTGCTGCCTTGCACATTTCTCTGTATAGTTTTGCAACGCATGCAGAACCCCAACTATAGGTGCCACATTCAACGAGATCCCCTATGAAAGGGATCCCAAAAGAGTGCAAAAGGTTCTGACTTTTGTCAGAAAACAAAATAGTTGCGATCACAAGTAAAATAAAAAATTTAGCTTCTAATAAAACATCTTGTTGTGTGCGGGTACGTTTATTTTTTAAATCTTCATATAACCTCTCTAGCCAAGTGATCCTAACAAAACCTTTAATTTTATCTGCTTCTGTTGGTTCCACCCCCAAGTAATCCATGTAAACAGTATTTGTTACCTCGGTGGGACCGTTGATAGCTTTCCATCAACTCGTAGACCAAGTAACATATATGTATCTTCAAGCGTTATCGTGCATTCACCTGTTGGGAAGTGAAAAGTGTGCGTTTCGGGTCTCCATTTCTCCAACAGAGCCACAACTAAGCTTGAGTCGACTTTCAAACTATTTATTTTTAAAATGTGTGCGAATCCTGCTATTTCAAGATAAGCCATTATTCTCTGACTCGCTTGAACAGGAGCATGTGAATGGACCTTAAACCTCGGGGCATTAGTCTGCAACAATATTAAACCAACATTATTTACTCACAAATTTTACCACGAAATAATATTTTCACAACGTTGGGGACATATGACATCTAACTTAGCAGAAGCAATAAACTCTATACTAAAGGCAACAAGAAACCTTCCCATTACTGCATTGGTCCAGTCTACATACTATCGAATGAGTTCACTCTTTGGTAAACGGGGACACAAATGGACCAAAATGCTATCTTCAGGCAAAGTTTTTGCAGATGATTGTAACAAGGGAATGGCTGAGGAGGTAGCCAAGGCTAACACACACAACATCATGCAATTTGATCGCGAAAGATTTTGTTTCATGGTGCAGGAAAAGATTAATTACAACGATGGTCGTCCAACGGGTACTTTCAGCGTTGACTTGAGGAATCGTTTGTGTGACTGTGGAAAATTTCAAACATTTCACTTGCCTTGCTCCCACGTGATAGCGGCATGTTCTAGCATACGACAAGACTACACAATACACATTCCAGAGGTCTTCACAGTACTTAACATATTCAAGGTCTACAAGGAAAGCTTCATGGGACTACTGCACGAGGAGAACTGGCAAAATATGAAGGTTTCACTTTGTGCCACGACAATTCAATGAGAAGAAATAAAAAGGGGCGTCCAACCAGTAGTAGAATTAGAACTGAGATGGACGAGCCCGAAAAAGAGAAGAGAAGGTGTGGGATTTGCAGAGATATAGGACATATGTGTAGAAAATGTCCCAACGTTGTCGGTCCGTCAAACCGACTGAATAGATAATTTTATTGTACTAGTTTTGTATGTGATCCATCAATTTTTTTAAACTCATAACAACTTTCAAATTACAACAATACCAGCGAACTACAAACATAAAGTGGATCCATGACTCCACAAACTCAAAATTAAAAATCAGGATGCTAAACTAAACTCTAACAAACAACAACGACCAACACAAGTGGATCCGTAACTCCTCTGTTGACTTCGCTACTATGCGCTGAGAACATGCAATGGACATCTTCATCATTTTCTATACGATCTAGGTAGTACATATGTACGTCCCCTTCGGGCTAGCATCAGTAAGCGTTATATATGGACAACGACACTCGATTTTTCTCATCGTCACGCGACGACCGCGCAGCTGCTGAAACCCGACGTTAATTGCTGCAACCACGGTTCTGAAATTCCACAGCGGATCTAGGTAAACACTGATTTTTTCTCTGGTCCATATAAAACAAGAGCTCGCACAGACATCTTTATAAATCGGCTAAGTTGAAACGAATGATATTTGCTTATGCGCAATACGCTTATTTATAAAAAAAAAAATTACGTTTGAGCTCGGTCATTCAGTGACCGAGAGTCTGTAAAAATAGTTTTTATATTAAATAGTTTTTATATATAATTAATTAAATAGTTTTTATATTAAATAGTTTTTATATTAAATTAATTAAATAATTTTTATATTAAATAGTTTTTATATAAAATTAATTAAATAGTTTTTATATTAAATGGTTTTTATATAAAATTAATTAAATAGTTTTTATATTAAATATTTTTTATATAGAATTAATTAAATAGCTTTTATATTAAATAGTTTTTATATAAAATTAATTAAATAGTTTTAATATTAAATAGTTTTTATATAAAATTAATTAAATAATTTTTATATTAAATATTTTTTATATATAATTTATTAAATAGTTTTTATATTAAATAGTTTTTGTATAAAATTAATTAAATAGTTTTTATATTAAATAATTTTATATAAAATTAATTAAATAGTTTTTATATTTATCAAAATCATTACATAATTAAAAATTAAAAAAAAATATGGACTTCATACGTTCGTCCACCCAGTGGACGAACTTGTACAGCAAAAATTTCACACAGACTCATTCGTCCACTGAATGGACGAACCTATACGAAACAGGGTACACCCGTAAATAATTTTAAAAATAGGACATTATAGAAAAAAAATTCAATATAGGGTAAAATAGGCACACAAAAAAAATCGCTCCTCCCACTCTCATGTTTTTTGCATTTGAAACGTAATACACATTCCCATACATAGTACCACATGCATAGCTACACAAATATTATGATATATAGTTGTCGAAGAGTAATTGTTAGTTCACTTAGTGTCATGTCATTCTTATTTCAATGCAAATTGTTTATAACTACCGTTACTATTAAAGAATTTAATACTACGGAACCTGCACTAAAGATGCTCTAATAAATATTGTTTTATACTTTGAGTTACTTTTAGGCAAAATACCATTTTTGTTCCCTTAACTTTATCTTTAGGTTCAGATTGGTCCTTTAGCTATTTTTTGTGTCAGATTGGTCCTTTAAATATTTAAAATGTGTCATATTGGTCCTTTTTAACTAATTAGCGATGAGTTTAGCGACAGATTTTTGAATTTTTTGTCGCTAATTAGACGAAAATGACCAATATAACACGTTTTAAAGAGTCAAGGGACCAATCTGACACAAAAAAATAATTAAGGGACCAATCTAAATCTAAGAGTATAGTTAAGGGACCAAAAAATGTATTTAGCCTTACTTTTATCATACCTTGTTTAACTTTTACAGATTTTGCTCTATATATTGATTTACTATTATTATATTATAGTTTTTTTGATATACCTCTTAGAGAATTTTGTTTTGCTTTTGTTGAATATTTGGTATTGAATTAGATGAACAAGAAGATATAAAAGGAGTTCAAATAAAAATTGTAGGACATATGGAAGGAAAAGAAATTGCACGTGTCGAATGGACGAGAAAAGGTAGGGTTCCTCTACAAATCATTAGAGCTCCAATGGATTTTTGTTTCGTTCCACCTGTAACTTTGTTTGGGGTATTCGGAGTCAAAATTCAGATATTTTAAAACTTCTAAACAACGACTAATCAACTTTCCCTTATAACGTTCCATCTTTTTTTAAAACAAAAAATGACAATTTGAAATACTTTAGAAATTACAAAATTTGGAAGATTGAATAAAAAAATGTAATGAATCATTTTAGAATGAAGGAGTTGCTATGCTTAGTGTGTGACTCGTTATATATTATATATATGTAGCTAGTTTTTGGTTTAATAAGTATCTATTATATTTTGGTTTGCATTTTATCCAAATAATATCATCAATTTATATTATGTGTTTTATTAATCTTTTCTTTAATTTGTATCACATTTTAAAAGAAGAAGAAATAATAATAAACAAAAGGATTTTTTTTATTATTTATTTGTTAAATGTAAAAATGTAAAAAAAAATTATTTAGTTATTAATTGATTCAATTATATAATACAGATTAATTAAATTATTAATTAATCTTATTAAATATTTATATTTAAATTGATTAATAATTCTTTCATCGCCTGATTCTATTTCATCACTTGTCTGTGTCCATGTTTTAAGTGTGTTCTATCTGATTAATTCTTGATGTTGTTTTATCCATTGTTTAATCTATTACACGATGCTTTGCCGTAAACGTTTTATTTTGTCTTAGAATTTTATCTGTTCTTTCTCACGATGCTTTACCGTGATTGTTTGTGGATTTTATGCGATGCTTTGCCGCGTATCTTTGTCTGTTTTTACATGATGCTTTTCCATGTATGTTTTGCTAACTGCCTGATTACCGTGACGTTTTTCTATGCGTATTCTGTGCTATTTTGTCTGTCTGACCATACATGATGCTTTTACGTGTATTGTGTCTGTTCTGCTTGCTGATATCATGATGTTTTTCTATGTTATCTGTTGCTTTCTATTCCTTGTTGACCTAATTCAATGGGAGATACTGTATGTTGACTTATTGTCATTGTGTGTGTTCTTTGTTTATTCTTTACTTGTCTTTATTATTCTGGATTCTAAGAACCTGGCAATTTGTGGTCCTACGAACTACGGACGCTCTGATTTCTCAAGTTCTTCTTGAGAATACTTAGGCACAAGGCCCCAATCCTTGGCAGCACACTTTTTTTTCCTTGTTTCTCCTTTTACATAATTTTTTATAGTAGTATCCGAACTACGATTACTCTAACTTCCTATATAGGATACGTAGACATAGGATTGAATATCCTAGCGAGCTACCTTTTTATATTTCTACCTTTTTCTTTTTCCACCTTTTCTATTTACTTTGTCCATCCTTAGCTTAACAAACAATTTTAGCAATAACACAAATATTTCAATAGGTTCTTGTAGTATAACCAGCCCCCGTACCTTTGATCTCTCTTTTACTTAGCTTTAGGCCTTGCTTTTTTCTTTGCATTTTATTTATGAGTTATTCTTTCTTTTTTCCTTCCATTGGATAAATTAAAGTTCGGTGGTGATATTCTATAATTATTTATTCAAGTTAATACAATATCTTGATATCTGATTCTCACCGTGACATGCGTGTTGAGAAAATAGTGAGAAAAGATATACATATGCGTTCCACCATTTACACACTTCAAGTGTTTTTACATTCAAGTATCTTTTGTGCATTAAATTACCTTTCGACTGCCTTTACAATTTCCGTCATTTTATCTTACTTGCATTTTGATTTCAAGATTTTACTTTACTTACATTTCGATTTTTAGCCTTTTTCACCATTAAAGCCTTTCGTTACTTCAAGTTTTATTTAGAAGTTACAACAAACATTTTCAAGAAATACATTTTAATTTGAACAACAAAATGGTTTTCAAAGTCATAAACGCACGCAAATAGGTTCCGGGAGATTTTCGAGTTTGAACCCTTAATTGTTAACAAAAATTTGTGTTTGTTTACCAAATTTCACAGTAAACAAACACACACATTAATGGTTTGAAATGAAGATATGGATAATGTAATTAGTATAACTCAAAGCATCAAACAAGGTGTTTGATGTACTTAACAGTTAATTAAATTTGGGCAATTCTAATTTCAATTCTTCAAAGAATAATCAATAATGTGAATATTTATAAATTCAATTCTAATCAAACCTAATCTTGCATAAATTAAGACTATGAATGTAATAAACCTATTAAGTATGCAATTATACATGAAACAATAAATCTAACAGTTAAGGCAAACACACAAGAAATAAGAGAGAGAGAGAGAGAGAGAGAGAGAGAGAGAGAGAGAGAGAGAGAGAGAGAGAGAGAGAGAGAGAGAGAGAGAGCCCAAACACATAATTTATAGAAACCTTGAAAATAATTAATCAAAAAAGGTGTCACATTTTCTCAACATAAAACAACTTTCTCAAACATCATATTATAGCAGTGGAAATAAACTTCAACACACTTTTCAATTTGTATCATAAAAAGATAATCACTTTATTTAATCATAATATAGTTAATCAGATAAACTCAACCACTCGTAGAAAACCATAATCAAATAATCCCAACCCAATGTTATACTATTAGAGCGACACACAAAAACTAAACAACACAAAACGATAAACCACGAAGAAGGCCAACTATGTCATCCTTCAACACAAGCAACAACTAAGGCTCCTCTACCTAAGTATGTGCATCGCATGTGTAAAGACAACACAAGAAACAAACAGGGGGTGAAAATACATTCATAAATGTTAATGGTACAAAAAACAACAAGATAGCTTAATAATATCAATCCTTAATCACATAGATCATTCATAACAATCATCATCCCCC